ATGTTGCATCCAAGTGGCAAAAGAACCGTTTCGGCACTGGTCACGCAGCCGCTGCAGGCTAGGCAGTCCGATAGCGTCACCTGACCAATTTGCGCCTGCAGCTGCGGCAAAACATGGCAAAACAAATGACAGAGGAAGCACGGATTTCAGCATTAGGCGTTTTCAGTGCAGGGCTAAGCATTGAAGAGTCAAGGGTGAAGATATGTAGTGTCTGGGGTTCGGGGCTGATGTGCCAGCCTACTTCTTCAGAAAGCATCTGTACTGGATGGGATGCCTTAGAGATCCTGATGTTCACCAGCATAGCTGTTACCCCTTCTTATGTTGTCATGGTATGGATACTCATTCAAAGATTTCTGATCATAGAAGATAATGCAAAACAGCGTGGTACAGCCACCAGCAACAACTACAATCGCCAACGAACTTTAACAAACAAAGGAAGAGGCAAACGTTCGCACAGCACCTTCCCGTGAAACTTTAACTCAAGACCCTGCAGAACCCAACATAGCCGCTGTACAGAACCTCTGTGTATGTATAGACGAATAAACCCGATTGACCCCTGCTGAGGATCAGACCTTTGGATCGGAACCACTTTGCTTGGACCTATGGACTGCTGCTTGGGTATGTTTCGCTCAAAGGAACATTTCTTCAGGGCTCCTGCTTTGACATAACAGTTTGGGTTCAGATTGGTATTTTTCAGTTTTTGGGCGCAATGCTGACGGCTTAAGAAAATCAACTTTGTTATCAATATCGTTTGTATAATTGTTTCTGTTGTCAGATCATAATTTGTCATGAATGGATGATAGTTTCTTGTGATTGCTTTTCTGCTTTTGCTCTCATTACTACGGATTGTATGACTACTAGAGCTAAAATTCGCATTGCTGCAACAACTAGGAGCATTCATACTCCTATCTGATGTAGTATTTGAGTACTGAATACTACTTACCCTGCAAATTCTGATGCTATCATCACTACTATAATCCTACTACGAGCACCAGTAAATGGACTATCAGTAATAGTCGTCCCTGTTGTTGTTGTTGTTGTTGTTGTTGTTGTTGTTGTGGCAGTCTAGTTGTCGAAGTCGCTGTCTAGCCGTAGTCGTAGTAGCAATCGTCGTTGCAGCAGTAGCAGTAGTCCGAAAATCACTAGTAGCAGCAGTAGTGGCTAGCAAGAGCAGCAGCAGCAGCAGCAGCAGAATCAGTAGCAGCAAGAGCAGCAGTAGCAGTGGCAGTAGCACCAGCACCACCACGAGCAACAGCAACAGCAGCAAGAGCTAGGTTTCTAGCAGTAGCAGTGACGGTAGCCGTAGCAGCGGCGGTAGCGGTAGCAGTGTAGTAGTAGCAGTAGCAGTAGCAGTAGTAGAAGTACAAGTAGTAGCACCAATTGTGGTTATGGCAATAGTTTTCTGACTTGTCCTGATGCTCCGCCATTGTTTTGCTTCCCCCGGTCCTCCTGCTTTCGCCGCAGTACTAGTAATAGTGCTCCCTCCCAAATGCGTCTATCCTACTCGCGCTCCCACTCCCGCAAACAGACCACAACAACACCACTCTGGTCAGGATGTGAGCGACCCACCATTGCTAGTGGCAAGGACGGCAGAGACTGAGGCCTGAGCTTGATTAGATTTGGCTTCTGGACCTGCGGTACCTGTCTGGGCCACGCAGCATCGACTGAAGTGGGAGCAAGATTCTCAGCAAGGTCCAAGCTTTTTTATCATCAAGACATGAAGCTGAAACTCTGAATTCCAACCCAACCCCAGTTCCTCTCTGCGCCCCCCCCCCCTTTTTCTAACATAGCTGTCTGTGCCTCAGCCACTGGCAGAGACCGAGCTTCGCTTACGTTCCCGAGTTTTGCCTCAACTGGGAGATATGATTGTGCTTTCAGATACAAAAATTTCATAGAGGCTCACTGAAATACTTGTACTCTTTCGTGGCAGGCTCGGCTTTGAACAAATTAGGCATTCTGGCCTCCCGCCAGAAACTGCGGCTTGACCGTTACGAATGAAGAGGCCGAATTATGAATTTGATTTTAGTCTTGCTTGTACTTATAGGTTGTGACTCTCCACGCAACCAAAAAAAAAACGTCTGTTCGCATGACTGCTGTTCTGAAAATCGAATATGCTAAGGCCGGTATCAACTTGCTCGTGCGATCTATCAGGGTTTCGCCAGCAGACAGCTGAGTATATCAGCAGACACACGTCAAGATTACCAGGCAAGATCAGAACTGTGGATGTCTGAAACTCAGGGCTGGCTTCTGAATAGCCATCTGGCAAGGTTGCCATATGCACAGGGCTCTTCTGCCCGGAAGCAGTAAGCTGGTCACAAAACGATAAGGCAATCTTGCTTCAGCCCATTTCAGATCTATTTAGCTGTGACTGCCCTTTTGCATAAACAGCAGCGATTGATTTGGGTTGGGTGGCTTCTTGGCCCATTACCAATGCCCAAAAAGCACTTCTGTCAAGCTAGGCTTGCTGCACTCGCGCCTTTGCCATCAGCGGCCTGGAACACGAGGCATGCGCATTAACCATGAAAGTCTCAAACTTTGAACTCAAAATCCTCGACTCAAGCCGTACTCTTATGCGCAAGAGGCCTTGGCAGTTTGGGTTGGGGGTATCCCACTTGAACGAGCTGCTTGTCGACGAAACTGCTTGTAGGACTCTGATTGTTTGATGCAGCTTGTTGCTATGGTCCGACACAGGCACCCCGTCAGCCTTGCGAGTCGTGTCATTTACACACGACAAATACTGAAATGCCCTCTTTCTAGCTGGTTGCACTATCAGTTCTGCTTTTAGCTACTTCTTTTGTTGCCGCTAACATGTTCAGGAGCATGTTTAATCCCTATTGACCGTATCAGCACCATAGTCAGGATCGGAAAGGCCGCGCCTCGATTAATGGCTTCACGCACTCCTCAAGAGCCCGGTGAAAAACACACGAGCTTCACAAGCTTGGCAATAGCACAGATTGTCATGATAAGGTTTGTACTGCAAGACCAACCATAACCGTACCAACATCGCAAACATTAGCCCCGCACGCTTGGCATGAATAAGAAAGCGACTACATGAACATTATGCAAAAGAAATGCTAGGTAAATCGGATGCAACTATTCAAACTACTCATTGTTTGGGAACATACTGGGACTACATAGGTATATGACGCGGTCCGTCAAAGAAATTCCCTCTTCTCCTTCTTAGCAGAAGGATTTATTCCCTGTCTCTCTCTTTCTTTCTTTCCTTCTTTCTTTCTTTCTTTCCTTCTTTCTTTCTTTCTTTCTTTCTTTCTTCATGCGGGCTTTGAGGCAACTCGCAAGCTGCCTCCGGCATCACTGCCCAGCCCGTGTTGGGCTTCACTGTCTCTCTCTCTCTCTCTCTCTCTGTGCTACAGATGGGAACATTTATGAAACACAACGTGGCACATTGTTGTTATAGTTTGGGGGGGGGGGGCGTTGGGCCATTTCTTACAGATCGTGCGGACCCTGCCTAGATTTTGCAGAGCGCACGCTTACAACTTCGTCATATGATATATCTAGCTTGAAAAGAATGCGCGTGGCTGAGGGGCGCTGAGGAAACATCTCAAGTTCAAGGCTATAGGCTATAAAGGACTTGCTTATGCATCAAGATTGACTGTAACCCAAAGTTGCGCTCCCTGTCAGCTCCTGCGAGAGGGAGATGAAGTCATCCAGGTCGCCCAGTTTCACGCCGCTGCTAAAGGCCATCAAAGCCCGCCTAAGAAAGCAAAAGGAAACGAGAGATGGCAAGAGAAAAAGGCCCTCTCAGGGAATACCTGAGGCAACTGAGAAACTGAGAAGTGTCTTAAAGTGCTTGAGGCACTCAAGGTGCATACAGGATAGCGAAAAAATCGCGCATGGAGTATTACGTAACGCAAGGATGGCGCCCCTTGTAGAGGACCGAACGTTCACAGCCTCTTCTCTTACAGAATAATAGGAACACTCTCAACATCCCCATTTGAGCGAAGGACGACAAAGGATTTCCCCGTTCTGGCCTGAATGTGTTGAAGGATACTTGCAGTGAAGATAGCCCAAAGTAGACTCCACGGGGCCTGATCCCCAAAGCCCCCCAGGCTCCAAGAACAGAGCCCGCTTGTCTGGCAGCATGTTGGAATTTTCTTACACCAAGAGACTGAAGCTTAGCAGTTGTTTTGCAACATTTTGGAAACTTCTCGCGTAAGCCAACTTGCGTTCAGCATGGGACCCTGTCAGCTTTACACTAAAACAGTTCTGTTGCTCCTCAGCGGGTCTTGCTGTGCGTGTAAGAGCTACTGCTTGGGTTGGATGGGCAAGCAAAACTGCGAACAACTGCGATCAAGATGAGTTGTAACTTTCGCCAAGTCCGGCAGTTTGCAGAAGGCGTGAACAGTTGCATTCATGTCAATAGTCTAAGTATCATGAGAAAAGTTAATCGTGCACCTAGCTTTCAACCAGCAGCGTCAAAGCTCAGTTGAAGAATCTTGAGGCAATTCTTTCAGTGGCAGAATACTGTGAATGACTCGCTTCCCCCATGCTTCACATCCGGGCCACCTCGGCTCGTTGAAAAGAAGTGTCAGCACGCTGACGAGCCAAAAAGCACAGGCAGCTCTTGATCTTCATGATCTCAGATTTGTCTGTTGAACTCATTTGGCCAGCTCTTACATGTCTTCGAACAGACAAATTTTGTGTCAAGCGCTGGCCTTGTCTCACCATCCGACTTTTTTCCCCAAAAGAATCGATACAGCACGGCTGGGCTTTGAAGCCTCATGCACATTACAATCACTCTTCAGACAGCAGAGTGGTCGGGCTGGGGCACTTGTTACTTGCAAGTACTTCGCGTAATGCTTGCCAACCATATCACTACCAATAAGTTATGTTCTTTGGAATTCTGTGTTTTGAGACTTTGGAGGACCTTTGTTTCTGATTGCTGGCAGCTTCTTCTTCTTCCTCTTTCAACTGTGGCAACCTGTGGTTCTGTCACATAGGCGCTTTAGAATGTCTGTGCACAACATCCACCGGTGGGCTCAGAACAGGAACAGCCGCTTCCGCTCCTGAGCAGCATGTCCCGGGGCACAAGGATGCCAGGCAAAACTCACTACCGATACTTTTTGAGTTCCGAGGGGTGGTGTACAAAGTCAGCTTCACTAGCCCAAAGAATCTTACAAGTTGCGAGTGCTGGTGAACAGGCTTTTCGAGCGCTTGGGCAGCAATCCATATTGCCCAACCAAGGAAAGTTAAGCCAGCGGGGACTGTGGAGGCACAGATCCGCAGTGCAGTTCTTGATGTTTCATGAGCAATGTCTGCTTGCAGAGACTGCCTATCCTTGCAGCCCAGCGTCGATGACGGGATCTGCATCATACGCCTGAGAGCATACTTCAGAGGAACTTCTGCAGTCCGAAAGCTGACAAGTCTGGTCCAAGAAGCGGAGATGCCTTGAACGAAGACTCCGGTACCTCCAAAGCAAGTCACAAGCGCTGCAGCCGACAAAATGTCATCCGAACCACTGGTACAGCACTGGTACAGCATAAGAAACTAACTGACATGGCGGATCCAATGCTATTCCCAACACGTGCACTGTATCATCTTCAGGACACTCTGGGGAACCGAAGTGTGCTTCTACGCGAGTTCGTGATGTGTTTTGAGAATCGAAAGCTCCAACGATGACTCAAGACAATGTCCGAAGCAGTTTGTCCGCGTTGGGGCACCTGCCGCAAGCAGGATCAGAGAGATGGGATGGTTAAACTCCGCAAGCAGGGCCACGAGGAAGCCAACGATGTAATGATGCAGGTGGACGTAGACACCGGCAGTCTGCGACCTCAATCCCATACACTTAGCCGATGCAGTGCATCCTCTTCACGGGCATGCAAGCAGTCATGGCCAATGTTCCGTGTAATCATGTGGTGGCTTGCAAGCAGCCTCCGAATACCGCATAAATGGAGGCAAATAATGGGCATCCCTGAACTTTCGAAGCTGTCACCTTTGAACACCGCAAAAACATTACCCTAATTTGCCCAACGCATAGGTTAGACCATGCCAGCTGATCATAAGCACCATAGATGAGCATTTCTCAGCTCTACCATCCGCTGGCTTCACTGTGTTCCCTAGCTTGTGAACCTTTTCATGGAGAAAAACTGAGAGACTCCCAGCTGACACCGCAGACGACGCAGCTCAGGAAGGCACGCTACGAAGAGGTAGAAGCCGTAGAAGAGCCAAATGCTCAATCTCGAGCAGCAGTAGGCAAGAAATCCTCCACAAGTCAAAAAGCCCAGCTCGGATTCACTGTTGCCAGCGTGCCCCAGCTTACTTTGATAAGCATACAGATACCTGAATTAAGCTCAGATATATACACGTACCCGCACTAACCCTAACACGTCTAGCAGGTAAGGCCGACGCTTGACAAGCGGGTCATGCCCAGCCAAGGAGGCACTGACAAGTATCGAAGCTATCCCGTTACTGAAATTTCTACATATCCTGAAGCTGAGAAGCACCACTTGTTCACTTGCCTGAAAGGGGATTGTGCTTGAAAGCACACACGAAGTGCCACAGCCTCAGTATACCCAATGGAGGCAATCTGGGAATAGCAGTTTCAAGATTGAGGGCTCCGAAAATGAATCACCAGAAAAAAGAAAAAAAAAGATCCTTACACAGAGGCGCAAAACCAGACTTTCTGCAGGCCTGGGGGACAAGAGACCAAACGCTGCGGCAAAGATGGCCAGGGCAATGCACACACTCTTTGCACCGCCGCTGCGGAACCAGCCGGTTGTGAAAGAGATCCTGCAAAATGGTGGTCTACTCAAACTCTCGGTCCGTGCTAAGATGCTTGTGTAGAGGAGTCTCATTCCTGCAGTCTTTCGCGGGGTACAAAAAGGAACCCCAATTTGAAGAAATGCGCAGATGAAAAGACATCCAGAAGTGTTTCCTGCAAACTACAGGATCATCTCTTGACGGATCGGTAAAGGTTCCTTTGCAGGATTGTTTTCTAGCATGAGCATTTGCCAACAAGATTTGGTAAGACACTGAAGCATGACATCATGACTTGAGGCCTGTAGTGCCACAAACAAGCTTCATGGTGCGCAATCAAAACATTTCGACATTGAAAACAAATCAGGACTTTGGTTTCTCAGCATCCTGCTTACATCCCATAATATACTATGATATACTAGAATATACTAGAATATACTATAATATACCATACTATACTAGAATATACTATTATAGGGAATATAATGGAATACAATATACTATCATTGAATATACTGTAATATACGTAGCTGCAGAGCCGGCCTCGAAAGTTCTTCCACGCGATCCAGAGAACCCCAAGCCTGCTTCTCTCAACAGCCAAAAGCCAAGTCATCAGCGGGCACAAAAAAAAAAAACTAAGTGTGGTCATATAGGGGTTATACAGGGGTTAGATAGGGGTGATATTGGGCACTAAGTTATAATCCCCCTTGAGTAGATAGAATATCGGATACATGGGGATCTTATTATGTATTATATACCTAAGGCCACATTCTATCTACTTAAGGGGGACCATAGCCTAAGTCCCGTGAAAGCCTTGTTGCAGATCCTATTCAATCCGCTTGTGCAGACTCTGGCATGATCGAGGCGTCAGCACTTCAAGGCTTCTGAGACACGGGCAGGCCCACTGAGAAGCATGATCCCCACGAAGGCGAAGCCACGAGGACGAGGTCTACGGAATCGAAAGAGATACGCGGACCTGCTGCTGATGATAGTGGTCATAACGGCTCCCCCTTTTGACGCAAGCGGCCCTGCTGGGCACGGAGATGCTCTCAGGAGCTCGCAATGATCGTTTCATCAGTAACACACCAGAAACAGCGCATGTATTCCTAGGAGGCAGACTGGTGCTGGAGGGAATGGCAGCAACAATGCCATAAAAGGTAGGTGAGTAGCAGCAGCACCACCAGTAGCACTACAACAAGAAACGTGCTACACTAAAAACATCTACTAGAGAGAGGATAGAGAGAGAGAGAGAGCAGGTGCAACAGAAGCGGTAGCAGCAGCGGTAGCAACAGCACTGGTGGTGGTATCAATGTCATAACTCCTCCTGCTGCTATTACTGCTGTTGCTACTGCAACTGCTATTGCTGTTGCTGCTCTGCTGCTACTGCTGCTACTGCTGCTACTGATACTGCTACTATAAGCAGCCGCTTGTAGTAGTTGTGATCGTGGTGTGGTACACCTGTTGCAGCGCTACAACGCCTGTCTGGCAAGTGCACCCCTGTGAGGATGGCGAGCATGAAGCCCATGATCAACCTGGGCAAGGACGCCGTGCGACTCAGCACAATCATGCACCGAGAGACGTGGCTTCGAGAACATTTGAAGCAGGTAGCCTTGGAGCAGCAGAGACAAAGACCTGAATAGAAGAGGACCCCCCACAGGGATAGTTAAGCAGCATTCCGACGTTGTTCCCGAAAGGACCACAAGCCGACAAGACCATCCCTCGAGCACGCTACGTTCGCTGAAGGGTTTCCCGACACAAGAACTTAGAGGATTTGAAAGATGGCCACGATGCCAAAGATGGTGGTCGGACGTGTGACGGACAAGGCAGCGGAACAATCAGAATGACAAGAGCTGTTCACGTGTGGCAGCAGTGGTATGTTTGTTTTTAGTGATGTCTACTCCTTCCAATCAGGTAGTCCAGAAATGTTCGTGCCAGTGTGACTGTAGCTGCTACTGCTACTGCTGCTGCTGCTGCTGCTATTCCTACTGCTTCGTTTAGACGTAGTAATGCTTCACTGCGAACCGTTACAAGTACGCGATAGCACCAGCAGCAGCAGCAGCAGCATCAGCAGCAGCAACAGCCACAGACATGAAGTAGGAGTAGATGCAGAAGTTGCTGCAAAACGAACGTTACCGTACAGCAGTAGTTTCATGCACTGCAAGACACTGCAACGTCAGATCCATGCAGACGCGTGCAGGCTGCACCACTTGGGCTGCCGCATTATCTGGAAATCATACACCACCTCTAGCAGATGAGTGTCTGGATGACAATCTTGCGGCACACCAAACCTGGCTGGGAACATGCACTGAAGACGCACAAATTGTGCAAGCTGCAAGACCCCTATGGTAACCCACAAGGTGCTACTAAAAAAAATTAAGCCTCATCAGCCTCTTTTGAGTTTCAGGTCCTGGGATAAATCAAACTTCTTGCACAGCAAGCTAAACAAATAGGCAAAAAAAGACTCAATGCTTCCAGACGGCTGGCAGACCACGCGTACCACAATGTACTGCAACAAGAGGAGCAGGAACCACACAGCCAGTGCTGCATATTGCCTCAACAATGACGAGCTGTTCATTGTGTTTGACAGTTGATTTGCAACATTCTGCAGTAGCTACGCAGCTTCTACAAGCATATGTGTATATGCAAATGTCTTCCATCAATGATGGCAGCAGAAACAACTTACGAAGGAAAATCCCTGACCGATGAAGACATTATGCTTTTGGCTGCCAGGTGAATGCAGGCACATTGGTTCCTACAGCGGGATTCTAGCGTCATCCTCATGGTGAGAACACCGTTGACTTTTGGCCTGACTTTGCTCAATTTAAGGGAGAAGCCAATCAGGGTGAATATGCACATGAGAACCAAAAAGCAAACAAAGAATGCCCAGAACAATCAAGCAATAGGACAACAACTCGCAAAAGAGTGCAGAAGACAACTTCGAAACAAAGATGCCACATGCGGCATACACTGAGACAGGAAGCTGGCAAAAACGCTTGCCAAACCACTGGAAAGTAAAGACCCCCACTATCATGCGTACATGATAGAGGTTAAATGGAATCGCTTCCATCATAACCGCATATTCTCCCAACATAAAGCTGCTTACATTGCTCATAAGCTGATCGCAGCTCACACTGATACATTGAATACATGTGAGACACTTAACAATCTTCTTCACAGTGCACATTATGTTAGTGCGCAAAAACATCTAATGCACATGACTGCGCTCTTGCCACGCCTGCTTCTCCTTCTACTACTTGTGCTTCTGCCACTACCACTGATTACCACTACTGCTACTACTACTACTACTGCTGCTACTACTACTACTACGACTGCTGCTGCTACTCCTACTACTACTACTACTGCTACTACTGCTACTACTACTACTACTACTACTCGTCGTCGCTTGTTAGCCATCAAGGCTACTCCCCTCCCTCTAACACTAAACATTTTTATTGTGGTATTATTATCATAACTTATTGGAAATACTTAACATGAAGGAAACTGGGGTGGTTGTAACACTACGGGGAGGGGAGGAAGATAATTGTCACAACTAACCTGGATTTGAGGAACCCTTATTATATCACCAGCATAGAACTGACGTTTCTCGTGATTGCTACCGACATGACTCAGAACACCTTGCACGAGTGCTGCTCACACGCAGACTTGCTTGAAACATGCCTTGCATTATGTCCCCGGAAGCACACCACAAACAGGCTTCATTTCGAGAAGGCTTCAACAACATCAAAGCCATCCCTCTGTAGCCCTCTAAGACACAGGTATTGGAGGAAATGGCTGGGTGTTCGCCTGTCCTACTGCAGCCGGGCTAGCTAGCAAGGGACACACCATCACACCTGCGGCTTCCAACTTACCAAGTTGAAAGCACCCTTAACCTGCAAAGTCCACATGTAAGGAGGATTCCAAACGTGCACAACCCTGGAAACAATAGCTTAAGGACGGATCTTCATGGATTTTGAAAGCTGGGCCCGATTGTTGGCATGCAACAAGCACCGCCCAGCCCAGCCTCCACGGGACACGGTGGCCATGTCGCCCTTGGACAAGACCAAGATAGTACCAATAAATGATACCAACGGTAATTCTAATAGTGATAATAGTACTAATAGTAATAGAAATAATAAGACTTTGAGGCATGTTGAGGTTTTTGCTCTACAGCATCGTGGAAACACCATCTTCCGATCTTAAAAAACAGCAAAAATCCTATGCTGAGCCATTTTGGGATCATGTAGAGGACTAGGGACAATTTCAGCGCAGGCACGACTTCAGTATGGGGTTTGAAATCATGTTGACCCTACATCAGAAAGTACAAGGCAAAACGCTTTGGGAAAGAAACAGTTGTTCATACAGCCGGAGCTTCCACGACTGGTTGTGTTGCTGCCTCTCATGAGGTGGGAATACAGACTCAAGCATCTGCCGCTTCTAAAGTCACAAAAGATTACTGATCCTTTCATAACGATTTCGCATATTAGGAGCACAGGAAAGGCAAAAAGGGTGAGCAATGAAAATGCGTGGATTGCTCGTAGGTCATTCTGGGGATGGTGCTTGTAAAACTGAAAAACCCCAGCGTGTCCTTCCTGTCTGCTTACATATACGCTTTCCAGAAGGTGCTGTCAATACTTGATCAGCGAATGCCTGCTACTGCTACTACCAGAATCAGAAATGCGACTGCATGGTTCCCGAGCATTGCCAACACAGGGCAAATCCAGCAAACTGATCCACGGCTTCAAAGATCAGAGACCAAATACCTGCCTTGGCTTGCCAATTGGAATCGAAGACTCCCGATGCTGGATTCTTTGCGAGAAATATGGGTTCAAGGAATGCCAACATGCCAGGCTGCCTGCCATGTTGCTGGGTTTTGCCAACATGTATGCCAAACGCACGACGACCTCCAATCATCGCTATAGGGATTCTGTAAATGAGGCTGTCTCATATTGAGAAACTCTTCGTCTAAACAACAAACACAAGGTGTTCAGATTTCAGAACCTGCACCTCTCAAAATGAAAAGCACCCATCCTATGACACCCAACAACTGCAAATGCCTAAACAAATACGACCCACAGTTTAACGGCTGGAAGTGGGAACCACAAAACCGACATCTATGATGTGAAACAATTGTGGAAACCTGCGATGTCAGCACAAAACTGACGACATCCACCAACCCCGAATAGCTGCCGCCTTCGTGGCTCAAGCTCTCGTCTCCAAGCAGCGAGGAATCAAAGCCCTTGGGCAGAAAGGTTTTAAGGGAAACAACGCCATCCGAAGCTGCTCTGTGGAAGACAGGTTGCTTGCAAACTGTATTGACAAAAGCTGAATAACTTTGGTGATGACTAATTATGACATCCTGTGCAAAACTCCCAATACCACCTTTAGGGTCGTTACTCAGCACTTGTCGAATAACATTCAACTGTTTGAAACAAAATGACAGCCACAAGACTCAGCTTCACGCGCCTGCTGATGTCCCTGAATAATTTCGTTGCCGATATACGCTTCCATTATGGTCTGCGAGATGCACTCGGCAAAATCTCCCACTTCAAAATTTGATTTACCATTATACAGCAAACCCCTGCCAGACTTGACCCTCAAAACTTCAGAAGGCAGCGGTATTCAGAATCTACATCTTTGTTGTAAATCCATTTCTTGGAGCCAAACTGTGAGGCCTTGGCCTGGCGCCATCGCTTCAGCCTGAATCTTTGATGTGGAAAGCAAAGTATCCGTGGAACTGAAACAGCATCCGCGAAACCAAAACGTAATGAATGTGCTTGGCCACATACTGCTGGCAAATAAACGGGCAACATCGAGGCTTGGGCCACTGAGTGGTTGGCCGTGCCTTCGACGTTGAACGCACTTTGGCGTGCAGTCACGGAGGTCATGTCAACCGACACCGGTTCACTGAACACATGCTTCCAAACATAACCTTACCGAATCGTTGCGAATGACTTCATAAAAAGTTACGGCCGTTCATGACGTCGGAATTGCACATGTAAACCCAACAAGATGTTAACAACACGGTATACTAAATGAAGAAGGCAACTAATACGTTAACAGTAAACAATGTGGAATCAATTTGAAGCTGGAACAATGATACCAACAATGCAATATTTAGCACATTTCAAAGCACATTTGGTTTGTTAAGATTGAAACAGGTTCGGCAAGAACGCTTGGCAAGAACGATTGTTTTTTGTGTGGCTTGGGATTATGTGAAAGCTGTAAAAACATTAGTCAACAGCGATCAGCACATCTTTATTGCGGTGACAACAACATGCATTTGCCCATTTGGCTACCCTGCACCGTCAACATAGAATAGCCCACGTGCTGCTCGACAGGCTGTTGTGTAACCCCCAAATTCCAAAATGCATTCAACAAATCGATGATTTCCGCCGCATGTTACATGCTTGCGTTGATGGTATTCAGTTCCAAGTTTGTTGACATGAGTCGGGCAAGCATCGATTTCGAAGTAAAACGCTTGCGTCCCAATGGTATGTAAGTGGGACGCAAGTCTAGCCTTACACTTTTTAATTACACCCTTTTATTCTTGAGCCTGATGGTTTG